TCCAGAATTCTGAAGAAACCGCACGGTTTCCGCACGGATTCCCCACGACATCCTGAAATATTCCGAAGGTCCCGGAAGGATTCCGGAGGACTCCCGAACAGGATTCCTGAGGAGTTGCTCTGGCTTCTGACGATTCCTGCAGATTCGCCACGATTCTTCTGGATTAATATAGGAATCCCTAATACTTCTTAACACAAATCTACACATTCTGGAAGCATCCTGAAGGTTGCACACGGCCCTGGAGGGAATCTTGAAGATCCCTGGAGATTCGCAAAATTCCTGCGGATGCCTAAAAGTGTCCTGAAGGATTCCTTGAGGATTCCTGGCGATTCCTGCGGGATCCTGAAAGGCCCTGACACTTACAATTCCAACCAGATCCCTGTGGATTTTTGGAGATTTCGGAAAAATTGGTTGTGCCCGCGCACGTTCTGTTTACGTTGTACATAACTGTCGTACACGTTGGGTATGTTCAATATGCACTGCGTATGCGGTGTTGTCTGCGTTTAATGCACATGGCGTGTACGTTTTAAGTATGTTTCGCACGCGTTGTCTGATACCTGTTATCAGCGCGTTGTGTACAGGCCGTACACGTTTCGCATACGTTCCGCGTGCGTGTCCAGATGCACATTGTATACGTTTCGGGTGCATCTTACATGCGTGATGGATTCGTTTGCGATGCGTTTCGGGTTTTGCATCTGTGATGTATACGTTGGCTTACGTCTCATACGCGTTTCGTCAACACTTCGCGACCAAATTCGATGTGATACGTAGTAGTCTCGTGCACCAGCCATACACATTGCATATACGTTCGGTAGACATGTGTCCGCAGGCGCTTCGCGAAAGCGCCTCCCAAGTTCCGTATAGGTCCAACATACATTACGTAAACGTGTTTGGCAACGTTTGGTGGGCGTCACGCGTGTGTTTCGTATACGTACCGTTATGTGTCGTATTCGCTTGGTCTACTGTCGAATGCATTATGCATACGTTCTCCTACACTTTTTGCAGTAACGCTCCGTAAATGTGTTGTATGCATGTCGGATGCGCGTCGCGTCCCTTTTGTGCACAAGTCCACACAAGTTGTATAGACGCTCGACATACTTGTCGTGAGCATGTCGCATACGTGCCTGTTACGTTTTGTATACGTGGTTCCATATTGGCGCCACATGTGCCATATGCGTTCCATATACGGCTCCTATATTTTTGCATATCAGTTTCGCCTACAACATGTATCGTGCGGGGCATGAGCATTTCGGACACACCTCTCCTGCATGTCGTATGAATTTAGAAGCCGCGCATATGAATGTCCCAAGAAGTTTCTAAGGCCATGCGCATACGATTCGTGTGCTTCCGTATGTTTTTAGCACACGTTTGGTACACCTTTTCGGGGACGTCTCGTATACGTTGCCAACACGTGTCGTACATGATATGTATGCGTGTGCCGTCTACGCGATATACGTCATGCACCCACCAACCAATACGTTGGATGTGCCTTCCATCCTCGCTTCGCATACGTTGCAGATGCGCTCATTTTAGGTTTCGTCTACGTCGTCTCATACCGGTCTCATATATGCGACATCTGATTCCTATACATTGCGCACACATTGTGAGTAGTTGTGCACGTGCTGTGTGCAAGTGTTTCGTATACGCGTGGTATACGTTCCGTAAACGTGGCCCCGTAAAGGGTGCCATATATATATATACATATATATGTGTATATCTATATAAATTTATATATTTACATGTACCATATGCGCTTCATATACGGTACATATAATTTGCGTATAACGTCTCGTGGACACGTTTCATATGATTCCCTATACGTTCCATGAACGTTTCTCCTGAGCTCAGCAAAAAAAGGTTACCATTCGTCGCGCATGCTTTTCCCAAGCGTTTCGAGAACATTGGGTATACGATTCGTGCACATGACGAATATGCCCCGTATGCGTTTCGTAAGCATGCTGGGAACGCTACGTGAATGTTTCACATGCGTTGCGTAGGCGTTCGGAAGTTGTGTTGTGTGCGTTTCGTATACGCGTTTTATATGTTTGAATACACGTACAAACCTGCTGCATCTGCGTTACACATACGATTCGCGCGCGTTTCGTACACAATCGTTTTACGTTTCGTATGCGTGGTTCCATATCGGCGCTATATATGTGCGATATGCGACTCATAGACGGCTCCGGTCGTTTACATGTACGTTCCACGAGGACATGTCATATGCGTTCCTGATTTGTTGCGCATGCGTTCGGTACGTTTCGTACGCGCCTCATGTGCGTATGATGTGACATGCACATACGATTCGTATACGTGACATGCGCGTTTCATATGCGAATCGTTTACGTTTCAAACATGAGGTGCCATGCACGTTTCGTATAAGCTGCTGGTACGCCTGATACACTTGCCACCTTCGTTTCGTATAGAAGTCGCCTGTGCTCTAAATACGGAGCGTATACATTTTCAATACGGTTCGTACACGTTCCTCATCCGTTTCCTACACGCTTCCTATACGTTTCGCTCACGCGTTCTATATGTTCTGTTTACGCTTCGCACACGCTTCGTGATCGTTCGTATACGATGCCGCCTTGGCATGCCTTGAGCCGACGTGGGTCCGTCTTGGAGTACCTACTGAGAATTTGCACGTCGTGGGACAATGGAATGGTCTAGATCCCAACGGCGCAAACTGAAAACTGGGTGAGTTCCCATGAAGGATACGATTCGGTTGCCACTGATCTGATGATCAATGCAAGGACGAACTGAGACATAGCCTGTTCTTTCCTGGCCGCTGAGGCCTGAACCGTTGCGGCTTTTTTAAACGATTGGATCTGACACGACCCGTTGGGATCTCAAGCGTCCCGTCTGGATCTGACCACGTCTCCTCCCCCCCCGCCTTGTCCTAACTAGGAGCGGCAAAGAGGGGAGCGTTCAAGAGGAGGGGGGTGCAAACCATGGCCAGCGGCACGTGCGCGGCCCAAAGGGGGGCCAGGGATGCAATGAAACAAGAAGAGGCGCCATGAAATCTGGGGAAATATCATGGCACACGCCATGATCCCCCCCCCCTAGTCATCACCCCCCTCTTTGCCGCCCCCGATCCTAACCTTAGGTCGGGCATGTCCCCCTACAGGCGGAGTTTGGGCGACAAATAAAACTATGCTCAACTGCACCAACAAATATCCAACAATGGTTCCAAAATCGCCCCCAGACTATTTCGTTTGACTATTCTTGAATAGTCCTCCTGTAGAGGGACAGGCCCGACTCAACCCCAGTCATCACCCCCTTCTTTGCCGCCCCCGATCCTAGCCTTGCGGATGCCATGACAATGGACACTCTAACAATCCTATCATGGAATCAAAGATGTGTTTAGCATGTGTAAAGCGTGTTCTGAACATGGTTCAAGCATGCTTTTACATAGCTCAAACATGTTCGAAACATGTCTTAGGCATCTGGTACTCCAGATTTTGTAAGAAAAGGGAGGGGGTCTGGACCCTCCAAGACAAGCCATTTCAGACCCCCCCCCCCGTGGGAGAACCCTCCAAAACATCGTCCCCAGACCCCCCCAGGCCCTCCAAGATGGCCTGGAAGAGACCCCCCCCCGAAATGAGACCCCCCTCCCTTTTATTACGAAATCTGGGGTAATTACTTGCCAGCATGCGCCCTCGCCGTTGACCGCCCTCCACACGCCCAGCCCCTCGTCGACGCCGCGCGGTCTTCCCGTCGCCGGCCTCGGGCCTCCGGCCGCCGCCTCCGGGGCCGCTCTGGGCACCCTCGGCGGGTGCTCCCGACGGGGCGCTTCGCCGCCGGAGAGTGCGGCCCGGATCGAGAGGGGACCTCAGAGTGGGGCGACGAGATCTATACATATCCACTGCTCCGGGCCAGGCCAATCCTGGGCCCAAGAGCTGTGTATACGCCCTCCTGGCTTGGCCAGGGAGGCATATACACCGCTCCTGGGCCCAGGATGGGCCTGGTCAGGAGCAGTGGATATGTATAGATCTCGTCGTGAGGACCCCAGGGGATAGGGCTCTTGAACTCGAGGGCCCCTCTACGGACCCCAGGGAGCCTCTAAGGACCCGCTCCAAGGAAGAGGGAGCCTCTAAGGACCCTCTGGAGACTGCATCCCGGATCGAGAGGGAACCTCTGAGGACCCCAGGGGAAAAGGGTTCTTGAACTCATAAAACGGGTGTTAGAATTCAAAAACCAATTCTTGAATAAAAACAGCGGGTTTTCGAATTCAAGTGGGAACCTCTGAGGACCCCAGGGGAAAAGGGTTCTTGACTTCCAAAAACAGGTGTTAGAAAACCAAGTCGTGAATTCAAAAAAAACGGGTTTTCGAATTCAGAAACCAGTTTCTGAAGTCAACAACTTATTTTTGAATTCAAAACCCCGATGTTGGGATTGAAAGACCAGCTTCCCCCCATCCCAATTTCGACGACGCTGCAACATCGTGTTACGAGACGGATGGCAGACTGAGGGACGAGGGGCTCTTCTTGCCGCCTCGGCACGGAGAGGTTCGAGGACCCCTGGAGAGTGCGTCCCGGATCAAGACAACCTCTGAGAACCCTGGGGAAAAATGCCCCCCCCCGCCCACCCCCCCCATCCCCATGTCGACGACGATGCACTATCGCGCTACGAGGTAATGGCAGACTGAGGGACGAGGGGCTCGTCTTGCCGCCTAAGCCACGGAGAGGTTCGACGGCCTTGACGTGAGGAACAGCCCGAAAACCAGAGCCGCCCCTGAGAGACCAACGTGGCCCTTATTTCAGCGTCCTGACGATACCCATCGGTCGGTAGTAGGTAGAAACATGAAGCAGGGAGGCATTGCAAGTAGATTGGGTTCCGTGCGCCGCCTTCGGAGGACGGAAAGGGTAAAGCCACTCGATCATTGGAGCAGGAAGGCGCCTAAAGTAGATTAGAGCCCAGGAATCAAAACATACATACTTCCAACGACCGATGGGTACAACCCCCCCCCTTGTTTGTCCCCACCCTCTCTTGGCCGCCCCCGATCAGCCCCCGCGAGCTCGCCCGCGAGCTCGCCCGCGAACTCGCCCGCCAGCGCCAGCAGCGCCATCGCGGCCACGTCCGAGCGCAGCACGCGGGGCCCGGCGCTGACGGCCTGGAAGCCCGCGGCCTCTAACGAGCCGGCGGTGCGCAAGAGGGGAGCGGCAAAGATAAGAGGCCTCCTGGATGGGGTCGAAGTAGACGGGGTCGGAGGATCGCGCCGCATCGCCGATACATAAACGATGCATCAGCACTGTACTGGCGATGCATCGGCGATGCACCGGCGATGCATCGTCGACGTGGGCGATGCATCGGCGACGTCGGCGTGGAGAAAATCGGGCCCCACATCGAGCCGCATCGGCGATGCATCGGCGATGCGGCGCGATCCCCCGACCCCCTCTACTCGGACTCCATCTGGGAGGCCCAGAAACGACCAGGGGGGACCGAGGTTCTCTGCTTCAGGTTGTCCTATTTCTTCGTCGGTTCTCGGCGGATGTTCCAGCCTCGGGATGCTTTCTCGCAGCTGCGCCTTGCTGGGCCCGTTATGGGGGGTGCCTCAAACGTCCCGGACGGCGGCGGCAGAGCCGAGCCATGAGCCGAAAACCAAAGGCACTGTCTCTGGGGGAGAAACATCGAGCTGGAATCGGCGACACGTTGCCGACAGATCGGCGATGGGCCCACGATGGCAAACCCACACGCTTCTGGACTGGCTCTGTGGGCTGTGAAGCCACCGTCGAACATGAATGGGCGAACGGATCGAAATTTGAGGCCTCCTAGATTGGGTCTGAGTAGATGGTGTCGGAGGATTGCGCTGGATCACCGATGTATCGGCGACGTCGACGTGAAGCAAATCGGGCTCTGCATCGAGCCGCGTCGGCGATGCATCGGCGATACGGCACGATCCTCCGACCCCATCTTCTCCGACCCCATCTGGGAGGCCCAGGGAGAAGCTTCGGAAGCCTCCGACTCAGGAGGGCGCCTCCGCCCCCACCCAAGGCCAGGCTCAGCTCACCATCGGCGGCGCCCGCCCTGGCCAGTCTTCCGAGCCGCGCCCCGCTGTGGGCTGTGGCCACCAGGGCGCCTTCCTCGACCGGGCAGGGACGTCTGCGACGTCCAGGCTGCTCCTCATGACGCCGTCCTGGCGCTCCGAGGAGCCCCCCAAATTCAAACCATTACTGGATATATGCTGTTTTGTTTCGGAGGGGCGTGTCGGTCCGCGTGCGCTGGTGGCCTTTCTCCACCACCACCACCGTAAGTTGGAGGGGGGAGGGGGTGGAGGATGAGGAAGAAGAAGAGGAGGCGGAGGAGGGGGTCCTCCCCCTCCTACTTATGGTTGTGGCGGTGGAAACCAAGCCCAGCATGGATCCTCCTCTTGAACCAGCTTGCCTCGACATGGCCACTTTCGATCGGCATGTTGGTCGAGCACCTTTCGATATATCGCTCCGTTTTCCGTCCGTTCTCCGACGCTGCGTCTTCCTCGACCCGGCGCCTTCGACCCAGCATCGGGGCCGAGGGTCGAAGGTGGTCTCAGGGGAAGCGGGTCGCGGGGCAAACGGGTCCTGGATCCCAGAGCTCCCGTGGCGGCGGGCTCAGAGGGGGTAGGGGTAGGGGGGAGAAGGCTCCTTAGAAGCACCCTGCTTCTTAGAAGGCCCCTGCCTTACATCTACACAAAATGCCCGCGCCTTCCAGTAGGAAGGTGGCGCTTCCAAGAAGCCTTCCCCCCTCCCCCCGCCCCCCATCTGCGCAGGGCCGACTTCCCCCGGGACGAGGTCTTCATCCCTCCCTGAGTTGTGTGTTGTTGAAACGTCGACATCCGAAGTCTACGCCCGCCACCCATCGATCCTCCTGAAAATCGATTGGAGGCGGGGGTAGGGTTCGGACTTCGCCACGTGTTCGACGCATTTGAAGGGGCCCTGGGACACACAAATACATAGACACAAATAACCTGTTCCCCATACTTCCGATCTTTTCTGGGTTTTTGTCTTCCCCCACGCTTCCCATATTTTCTGGGGAATCGACGACTAATTGTGTCTGTGTATAAATAAGGAACGAGGCCCCTTTTGCCCACAAGTTAAACTTCGCTTTCCAGTGGAAAATCTCAGGAACACCGAAGGCAAACTGCAGAACAATCAAGGAACACCAAACCCCTCCCCAACGAAAAGGGTTCCTTCTGCAGCGCCCCGACTGTACGGCGGCGGCATTGGATAAGGAACGTCTTCCTGGGGCCCAGTCTAGAGGCCTCCTAGATGGGGTCGGAGTAGATGGGGTCTGGTCGGAGGATCGTGCCGCATCGCCGATACATCGGCGATGCATGGGTGATGCATCGGCGATGCTTCGGCGATGCATCGTCGACGTGGGCGATGCATCGGCGACGTCGGCGTGGAGAAAATCGGGCCCCACATCGAGCCGCATCGACGATGCTTCGGCGATGCGGCGCGATACTCCGACCCCATCTACTCCGACCCCATCTGGGAGGCCTAGACAGACCCTGGCGCATTCCTTGTTCTTTCAAGGCGAGGTGGGTGGCCGACCTTTGGCCGCCCATCGGTCGCGAGACCCTGGGTTCCTTATCGAAGCCATCGCTCGGACGTCCATTCCCTGTGCTTTTTCCGGTTTCGTGCGTGGCGTTTTCGCCAAATGATCAAGGATGCTCCTCGATGGTCCTCGCCGAAGGAAAAATGCACACGTTCGAGCGATGCCAAGTTATCGAAAGTATCCTTATCGAAAATCTCCACCGTACGTGGAAGTCCGGACCCCTGGGGAGAATTTCGGGACGGCTCGAGCCGTGGCCACTCGAGGGACCTATCCCGGAGAAGCCCAAGCGGCGCCCCAAACGCCCGAAGACCTCGGACCTTGAACCTCGAGCCCCTGCCTCGTCTCACAGCTGATGGACCCATGTTCCACCACCACTACCATATGTCGTAGGAGAGGGAGGAGGAGAAGGAGGAGGAGGAGGAGGAGCAGGAGGAGGCGGAGAAGGAGGAGGAGGAGGAGGAGGACCTCCTCATCCTCCCTCCTCCCTTCTCTCCCCCGTCCTACCTATAGTGGCGGTTGTGGAAAATGTGCCTATCCACAGCGACTCGTGCGCGCCGCCGAAATAGGTCCAGCTCGGCCGGCTCGTCCCAGCCAGCCTCTGGCCCCAACGCCACCAGCACCTCAGCATCGTCAGGCACTCCCCCATCCCAACTGGGACCCATGCAAACAATCCCATCCGCATCCTCCTTCTCCCCTCCCCTCCCCCCCGTCCTCCTCCCCCCCATTCCCCCCCCGCCTCCGCGTCTTCCCCATGCCCCGTTGCCCAAGGCGGCGGCCGCCCCGCCTCGACGGCATCCGAAGGACTCTGGGGGCGCCCCGTAAAGGCCCCGAGATGGCCGCGAAGATCCTTCCATGCCGTCCTTGCATACATTGCACACAGACTGTTGGAGAACCGCGCTGACGTCTTGGATCGGCGCTGGACCCCCTGTCTGGCAAGCTCCGCGGCCAGGGGGGCTCAGCGCCGCTCCAAGAAATCAGCGGGCCTCCGAAAGCTTACGGTGGAGGCCCGTCCACAAGAAACCTGCCACAAAAAACCCAACCCTGAGACCCCAGGACGTCCGTTGATTTCTGTTGGCGTAGGAACGTCACGCTTTCCATAGCAAAACCATCGAAACCCAAGATACCCCGGGCACCCTGGAGGCAAGCAGGGTGTTTCTTAGCATGGGCCTCCACTGTATGTGCCTGCATGTTTTTGTTCATCGGTCCGCGCCGGATCGGTGCAGTCCCGAGATCAGATCGAATCGACCACAGCGAACTTGCCTTTGAACCGACGCGGAACGAATGAGCCACTGAGGGTCGGCAGGTATCCCTCTTCCCTTCCTCCCTCCTCCCTCCTCCCTTCTCGCTGAGGAACCTGAGGCCACTGGGACATTGGGGATGGGGAGAAGCCTGACGACCCAGACCTCCGACGCCGCGAATTGTTGTTCGCGGCGCGGCTTTCCCGATCGAAGTCTGGCGCCCTCCCCCAGGGCAAGTCGTGTAAATCCCAGGGCCTGGGAAGGTCCCAGCGCTGCCGAACATGAACGAAAACAAACATGTCTGTGCTTTCAGCAGGGACCGACCGTCCCGGCATTCCTGTAGGCCTACCACCACATGTTCCTAGAACCCAACTGTTCGAATAACAACAACAATGTTATTAGAACATAGGCCCGATGTGTTTAAACAAGACAATATCGGCCAGACAATATCGGCCAGACATGTTCTAAGAACATTTCGTAGAAACCACACAAGGTTCTTAGAACATTGTTTGGTGGGCCTAGAGGCACGCCAGGAAGCTTCGCCAATGCTTGAGTGCTGTGTGCTTTTGGAAAACGCGAAGGGGCTCGGCCTTCGGGCCATAACTCCGGTCTCCGGGCGGCCGTTCGGGACGCTCCCGGCGCCCTCGGAACGGCCTATCGGCGAGGCGCAGCTGCTGGAAAACACCCCGAGGCGGAACGACCTTCTGGAACCGAAGAGACGTCCGAGAACCTCAGTCCTCGAATGTGAACTTCGATCGCGATCTATCATCGACGCTTATGTTGCTCCCAGCGTACTTACAAGGACCACATCTCAAAAATAGTTTTGAGCACCGAGAAGAGCATCGAAGCAGCGTCGGACGCGCATCATCGCCGCCCAGGGCCCAACACGCGAAAGCCACCCCCTCCAGTTTCGGTACCTTCCTGGTGCTCGAATTTGTTTCTGGTGATCAAGGCTAAAGCTGGCCATCGCTCGGACGTCCATTCCCTGTGCTTCTTCCGGTTTCGTGCGTGGCTGTTTCGCCAAATGGTCCAGGATGCTCCTCGATGAGCCTCGCCGAAGGAAACATGCACACGTCCGAGCGTTGCAGAAAAAATCGACGCCAGGACCCGGACACCGGCCAGCAAGTCTGGGGTTCACTGCGCGGCGCCACGGGCCCTGACCTGAAGTCGGGCCTGTTCCCCGACAGGGGGATTCTCGACGAAAGATACAAAATACCCCCAAAAAAGTCAAAACATAATCCAAAAATAGTCAAAACATAAACAAAAGTCAAAATACATAATACCCCCAAAATAGTCAAAACATAATCCAAAAATAGTTTGGGGACTATGTTTTGAATAGTTTCGAACCTTTTTGGGGTATGTTTGGGGTATTGTTTATTTTTCGTCGCGAATCCCCCTGTAGGGGGACAGGCCCGACTTAGCCCTGACGCCCTGACCGCTCTCCCGGGGCCAGCGTCTCGGCCCGGCTCAGTTTTTCTCTGGGCCGCGGGGCCCGACAACGGCTCGGTCGGGCACGTATCCATACAGCCGGACTTTGGGAGGAAAAGTAAGACTAGGAAACAAATCCTCAACGAGAGTCAACACATGATAGCAAAATCGCTCCGAGACTATGTTTCAAAACTATGTTTGAATATCCCTGCGGTAGAGGGACACGCCCGATGTAAGACAAGGGGTCACGCATGCCGAAATCTGGAGAAAACCGGCGGTTGTAAAGACTATGTCGTCGAATCTGGGGGTGCGGGGCCCCCAGAAGCCCTGAACTGCTCCCCAGGGCCAGCTTTTGCATCCCGAGTCGATTTCGGGCGCTCCTGGGTCCTGGCGAGGGCCCTCCGAGGCCGAGAACGACGCAAAACCTCCGCATCCACTAAAAACTCTCTCTCTCTCACACACACGCACACACACACACACACACAAAAAAAAAAAACCCTTGCTGGTTTGCTATCGTGCTCGATTCGCTTGTGTCTTGAACTTCTGCTTTTCGTTTTGTCGCTGGAGGTCTGCGCCGATCTCTCGGCGGCGCGCGGCGGCCCGACGGTCTCGCGGCGCACCCGCAGGGGCTCCGCCCCGCCGCGGCCGCCCGCGCGCGGCAGCTGGTGCGTCTCCACGGCGCCGCGCGGGTGGGCCACCAGCCGCGCGGCGCGGCCGCGCGGCGAGAGCTCGTCCAGCAGCCCGCCCTTCCGCAGGAGCGGCTCGAGCTCCTGCAAGACGAAGCCAGGATTAGGTCGGGCAGGTCCCCCTACAGGCGGATTTGAGACGAAAAATAAAACACACCCCACAAGTACTCCAAAAATACCCGAAAGTGGTCAAAAAATTGCCCCCTGACGATTGTTTGACCATTTTTGAATATTCTCCCTGTAGAGGGACAGGCCGACTTACAACCAGGACGAGGATGAATTCGGGGGTGCACGACTCGAGAATCGCTGCGATCTGGCGGCTCTGGAGGATGCCCTGGGCGTCGCGGAACGCTCTGAGAGCGTTCCGGAACGCTCTGAGAGCGTTCCGGAATGCCCTGGAACGGATTCATCCTCGTCCCAGCTTGGCGGCGTGCAGGGGGGGAGGGGGAGGGGGGAGGGCTCTTAGAAGCACCCCTGCTTCTCAGAAGGCGCGGGCCCTGTCTGCAGAGGCAAGGCCGGGCGCCTCCTCAGCAGCAGCCTCCTTGCAGGAAGCCTTGCCCCCGCCCC